TTGAATTAATTTCTTTTTTTTGTTTGTTTTTTTCTTTTTTCTTTAGGCAGTTGGGGTTAAGTGACTTGCCCAGGGTCACACAGCTAGTAAGTGTCAAGTGTTTGGTCTGAGATCAGATTTGAACTCAGGTCCTCCTGACTTCAGGGCTGGTGCTCTATCCACTGCGCCACCTAGCTGCCCCTGAATTAATTTCTTGTACTTTGAAAAAGTATATTTGGTTATCTCATGAAATATATGCAACTTCTTGTTTAAATTTAAATGAAGAGAATCCTAAATAATTTTTTATTTGGGAGCTGAAGTTTCTTAAGCAGAATACTTCTTCATCAGTATTCTGGAAGTAAAAGAATTCTAGTCTCAGTTAACTTATTTTCTGCCCATTTCTAATTCTAGAATTCAAGCTTTGATTTTTTTTTGTTCTATTTTGACAAAAAAAAAAATCTTTGTCTTTATGAGGATCATGTGGAACCTTATCTTCTCCTTAAATAGCTTGTTAGTTAGCTTTTTAGATTTCTTAGATGAGGCTAATACCTTTCTCATTCTGTGGGCTGACTTTTAATGAGATAGAGGCAAGCAAAGTACACTGAGTTGGCTCCCCATCTGTGGTGGTTGGTATTTTCATATTGCTACCAAAGCAGTACATATTCTTAATCCCTGTAAGCAAATCCTTCCTATGGTATTCATCATTATAGTGCAACCTGAGGGTTAGGTTTTTGGTGTTGTGTTCTGGCTTTAGATTCCCAGTGGTCTGATTCCCTTCCTGTATTCAGATTAGTCAAATTTGTTCCCTTGATTCTCTTTCCTTCATTCTTTTTTGAAAATGTTTCTGTAGTTGATATATCTCTGAAGAGATTCCTTGTGTTTTTAGTTATTTTACCATAAGACCCAGTTTTTCCTGGTTTACATCAGAGGAATGCATTTATTCACCTTATATTGCTGATTGGTTGACTTTGGTTATATCAGTTATTTTCTTGACATTTTTGAAACTTTTAAGGTTTTTCCAATAACATTTGTACATTATCTTCCTTCTGTAAGTGTAATCCTTCTCCTAGACTTATTTCTGTTGATGACACCACCATCTATCCAGTTTCTCGGGTTGGTTACGTCAGAGTAACCCTGACTTCTCTGTTACCTTTGTCATAGTCAACCACTTTTCAAACCTAGTTGATTCTAGTTCCACAACATCCTTCACATTTGTTCCCCTTTCTTCACTCATGTGGTCACCACTTTAGTTCAGGCCTTTATATTCTCCCCTAGAATATTGTAATTACTCTTCATTTATCTCCTAGCTTCTAGTTTCTGCTCTCTTTAATCCATTATCCATATGGCTGCCAAAGCATATTACGAAATTTTTTTCAATTAACAAAAATTCATTTTCTCTCCCTCCTACCTCTGTTTTTGTCTTTGAGGAAAAAGAAAAACAAAACCAATGTAACAAATATGCCTGATCAAGCAAAACACATTCTCACATAGCCCATGATCAAAAATAAGTTTCTTCTTTTGCATCATGAGTCCATCATCTCTCTGTCAGGAGGTGGGCAGCTGGTTGCATTATCAGTCCTCTGGAATTGTGATTGGTCATTGCATTAATCAGAATCCTTATGTTTTTCAATGTTGTTTATATAGTCTTAGATAAACTGTTCTGTGGTTTTGCCAAAATAATTTGACTGAAGTACAGGTCTGACCATGTCATTTCTCTACTTGAGAATTTCCAATGGTTCCCTGTTGCCCCTAGGATTAACATTTACCAACCTTAGTGATCTTGCTTCAGCCCACTTTTCTCATTTATCTCCCATTTCTCCCAATCGTATACTCTGCCTTCTAGTGAGCTGGCCTACTTGCAGGGTCCTGAATTCAGGCAGGCTGCCCCCCCCCCCTTTTTTTTTTTGCTTTTGCACAGGCTCTTCCTTGTGCTTAGAATGTACTTGTCTTCACTTCCACCTCAGCATCCTAAGCCTCCTTTCAAGATAAACTCAGATATTACCTTCTACAAGAAACTATTCTGTGATCCTACTAGTTTTTAGTAGCTTTGTACAGTTGTGTGCCCCCAGCAGAATACTTCTTTGTATCACTAACACTTTGCACTTGGTAGGTGCTTAATAGATGATGATTGATTTGCATATATCTTCTCTGTGTGTGTATGTGTGTGTGTATGTGTGTGTGTATATGGCAGAGAGAAATTACCAGTGTAATTCTGTTTTTCTGAAAATATAGAAATGTAACAGATCACAATCCATCTGTTTGCTGTTTGATTGGATTTGGCAGTTTATGCTCATTCCTTATTGTGTTACCTAATTGAAAAAGAACTGAAGGGGACCAGCTCTTTTTAGTCAGTCGTTGACCATCAGGGGTATGTTTGGGAGACAGCTACATCTTCAGAGTTCAGAATCTTGACATGCCTCCCTCATGTTCAGGCAGTGGGGTACAGACTGGGAAACCTGTTGCAAGTGACCTCAGGTAAGTTGATTTCTTATATCATGAGCCTTTTCCTCTAAAAGATAACATTTAATATCCAGCAAGGAATCACTGCCTAGGAAGAAAAAGAAGGCAAAAGATTTTGAAACTTGTTATGCCTGTGCTTTTCACATTTGCGCTGAATCCTTTTAATTACATATGATATAACTTGAGTTTTCTTTTGGAAGCTTAATGTTTGTGATTGATAGGGCACATTTCAGTTGTAAATAAAGTGTGGGTTACAGCACTGCTGTGTCAGATATTTCCCTTGAAGCTAGGGGTATGATTTATCTGATGATTTTAAAAACAAAGCGTGTTTACTGCTAATATTACCTGTGCTTCAACAATGTGTTTATTCATTTTGCTTATGTGAGGTGGACATGTAATTTGCCTCTTCCAAATATTTACATAGTGGTTATACAGATGCTTTCCTGGGAACTTAAAAATTACTTCAGACATCCATCTGTTCTACGACTGAGAATTTAGGTGAAATACTTAACGTGATCATTTCTTCAGGTCTCTGATTTTAATTTCCTAGTGTACAGACTTAGCTACCTCAATAACAAAAATAACACATTTATATATCATTTTTAGGTTCACAAAGCACTTTTTTCAATATCTTTGTGAGAATAGGTCTTGTAGACATTATCTCTATTTTACAGATGAGGATATAGCCTCAGATCATACACAGTAAACTGAGATTTGAACTTGAGTCTTTTCAATTCAAAGACCAAAGCACTTTTCATTGTACTTTATTGTCTCTCAAGAGATTAAACAGATTGAAACTATAGATTAAGAAAAACTTTAGTTACATTTGTGATTACTAGAGCCACAGCAGGTTAAAGAAAACTAGAATTTGGGGAGGGTACTCTCACTTTTTTTAAAAATTGACATTGTGGTGAAGGAGATCCATGCTGTACCACAATAGAAATGGGCCTTGGACTTTGGGTGATGATTCTTATGTTCCCCACGATTCTTCTCAATGAAATGCCAAGGTAGCAAAGTTAAATTGATCTGAGAGTGAAATTCTTTAGTTGTAGTGGTGTGAATTATTTCTGATAATGTAACATCATAGGCTGTAAGAATTGGAAGGGATCTTAGAGGTCATCTAGTTCAACTCACTTATTTTATGAATGGAAAAACTGAGTCCAGAAAAGAAGGGTGTTTAGTGACAACCACAGGCAGCCCTACTATGTCTGTTCTTGCCGGGGTACAATGTAGCCTCCCTAAAATTTTTATAAAATAAGTGGAATTATTTTCGTATCCCTTGTACATTTTTCTTGTTATACTGCTTTATTTCTTTTTTAAAAATTTAATTAATGCCTTTTGTTGTTACATCATATTATTTCCAGATATTTCCTTCCCTTTCCCAACTTAGCAAGCCATCCCTTGTAAAAAAAAAAAAAATTTAAAGAAATAGGGAAAAAAGCAGTTTAGCAAAACCAAGCTATATATCAACTATGTCTAATGGTATATATTACATTGCCTTTTATGGCAGGGAATTTTTTTTTTTTTTACACCATGAACCTGCTGTGTAGGTTGGAAAATAGACCTTGTTGTTTATCTCTTCAAACAGTCTTAAAACAGGGAATAGAGGGAATCAGATAGTCATCTTTATCTTTGCAATTTCTCTGGAATTTTTATGTTGTTAGATACCAGTTATTATTGGTGCTATGAATCATAGATATAAATTTGTTGAAATGCTTGAATGTGCAATAGGATATATTTAAAATTCCTTGCTTGGGAAGTATACATATACACAACACACTTAGAAGAATTGATATATTTATGCTAGCTACTTATACAACATTGCTTATAATAGGCAAGCTGGCCATAGTAAGAGACCCAGGATGTAAGAAAGATGATGCAAATTTAGCTGAAAATTATAATTTTGAGTTTAAAAATACATTATGATAAGAGCTCCAAATGTTCTAGTTAAAGAAGTCTGGTTTCTAAAACTATGAAAGTAGTAATTTTGATATACACAAATAAGAGTTACTTATAGGTAAATCATTAGGGACCACAAATTTAGATCCTTTAGATTTTTGGTCCATATTATCTTTGTTATGAAATTCTTTTTCCTAGCTTGAAAATGATGTTCAGTAACCTCAGAAGTAGCAGAGACCCTGTCTTACTGGTAGAAAGTAGCTGTTATACAAGTTAAGAAGCCCAGAACCACACTCCAGTCTAAATTTGCAGTTTTGTTATGTACTCATTTGGAAAGGAATTCAATGAACGATGATAAAGTTAAGGTTGCTTTAGACACTAAATGATGATATCTTAAGTTTCTCTCATGCTTTTCTTTTTTTTAAATTTTTTATTAATTTATTTTGATTTATCAATAATCACTTCCATATGCTTTTGAGTTTAAAATTTTTCTCCCCCTTCCTCCCCACCACCCTCCCCAAGACGGCGCGCAATCTGATATAGGCTATACATTTACATTCATTTTAAACATATTTTCCCATTAGTGATGTTGTAAGTAGAAATTAAAACCAATAGGAGGAACCATCAGAAAGAGGAAACAAAACTCAACAGTAGAGAAAAAAAAATAACAATTTGGCTTCCATAGTTCTTTCTTTGGATGTGGATAGCATTTTACATCATGTCTCTCATGCTTTTCTCCAGACAACTCAGAATTGGTCACAAACATTATCTCATTCAAGACATTTTTATGAGCTAAATGTTACTGGAGATCCCAAATTTCACAAGTTTCTTTAAATTTGTGAATGCAAACAGTATCATTGTAGCTTTTTTGGTGATGATTTGAAACAAAGTGAGCATATAAACGTTCTGAGTTGTATAAGAGTTGTTTCCTTTGTTTAAAGAGGTCAAAGTGAAGATATTGAGGACTTCTGGATTGCTTTTGCTAATAAGACATGTGAAACTGAAATGTCCATATGCATGCCCCACAGAATAATTTTAGTCTTATTTCGTGAATTAGTTTTACCAAATTTTAGGGCTACTAAGATGGGTCCATGGAAAATTCCTGTGGGTAGGAAAAGTAACTTAAATCTTTTCCTTTTGATGATGATGAAGTGTTCTACCTGACCTCAGGTAATACTGGTGAACAACATATTAAATCTGGTCAGACTTTTAGGCTATCTGCCCATTGGGCCTAGGAATGAAAACCCTCCCTAGGACTTTGAACATTCACATGTAATAGGCAGCATGGTTGTTTTATTCAGTCAACTAGACTACATTAAACGTAATGTGAAGTCAGATGACTTAGGCCTCACTTTTTTGGATGCCAGATTTCCTGCTGATCCAACTTTCATGCTTCCAAGTAGCTTGGCTAAATTTATTTTGATCATACACTAATGTGTACCTGAAAAATACATAGCAGTCCATTCCTTTAGTTCTGTCAGAATTATTTACCTTTTTATCTAGTGGTAGATATGTTGTGAACCTGGAGAACTGATGTGAGATATTAAGAAAACTGGGATGGTTTATGCTGTGGATAGGAACATAATTGGAGAATACATTGATCTTTATGGAAAACTAAATGCAAATTTCTTACTCTTGATATTTGCAAATTCACATAGGTAAACATTTTCAGAGTTATATAGGAGAACCAAGTATAGCCTAATTGGAAAAAAAATCATGTTTACTTGCTGCTTCTTTGAAACTGGAGAAAGCTATTTTCAACCCAGAGTCATGCTGGGTTTCATACTTACGGTGGGGTAAGCTATTCAGAAATGAGCTCCGAGGAGAGGTGGCTGGTAGAGGTTGTGGCAGCTTAAACCGCAGGTATATTTGGGAAGCCACGAGGCGCTCTTCCATGGCTGGGCGACCCTCGCGGAGGCAGAGGATGGATGCTGTGGCTGAGTGGAGAGCGGCGCGCCCAGAGAGGAATCCCATGAAGCGGAGCTGGAGGGACCAGGTGAGCCTGGGCTGGAGACAGTGGTAGCAAAAGGAGAGCTTTGGTTTTCTGCAAACTCCCTTTAAGCACACATGGGATCATTGGATTTTTTTTGTTTTTGTTTTTGTTATTATTTTTCAAGTGTTTCACTATAGGAAGACTGAATGGAGGGGGAGCTATTGAGAACATAGTTGGGGTACTGACCCTCCTTGCAAATGGGCGCTGTAATTCGAGAGATGAGTTTTGTGTAAATACTAGGAAGAGAAGAAAGCTTGATGAAGGGTAGGCTTTGAAGAAAAACCTCTCACTTAGCTTATGTCAAGTTTAGACTGACAGTCATGACATTTTTAGAGCTTCTTTAGAACAGATTGGCTGTTTGTTAGAATGTAAAGAAAAAGACAAACGGGCATTTGATAGTATTCATTTGAGATTACTTCAGACTTAAAGCCATAGTGGGACATGAGGGTTTAGTGCACCTGGTGCACTAAAGGATCAGGTCTTGTTAGATAGTGAGGAAAGGGTAGAATAGTAGAGAGTACTTGCCTACATGGGTCAGTTGTTTGCCAATAAGGCTAGGTTTTGTTGCTAAGTTTTTTTAAAAAAGGGCCAAAATAATTTCTTTAGAAGCCTGAAATTCAGGATTTTGGTTTTAACATTTTTCGAACAGTGTGCGTTCATTTGGGTAATAAACCTTACATAGGGTGAACCCTACTTCTTTTATCTTGGGAGCTGATAGGTTCTTTAATTTGCTAAATCCCTTCCTGTTGATTTAAAACATCTTTGTTGCCTTGGAGGTCACCTTACATTTTTGTATATCAGTCAGCAAGGATTATGGTGGTGGTGGTAGTAGTAGTAACATCATTGACTAATCTTGGATACCCCCAGCATGCTTGATCTGGGTTTGAGCTCCCCAGGCTTTGAAAGTAGAATCCCATTTTGACGCTAAACATTAGCTACAAAATATATTGTTTCAGGGCCCTAAGGACCTATGTAATAATTTGAACAAAGTAACAATGTCTATCACAGCATCAGGAATTTTTTTTATTTTTGGTTTCAGGAGAACTGCCATCTTGGTAAGTTCTGATTAGTAGGTTACTCAAGGATTTTGTTCAAGGAGAGTGACCTTAGTAGCATTCCTACCACATATCAGAGCAGTAGGTAGGCTAGATATTTTAGGGAATACAACATAGTAAATGTTAACATCACCAATTATATTCTTTAAGGCTGAGGTAAAAAAATAAAATTAATATACCCCTCTATAAAGGGAAATTCATTTAAAAAATACTGTATTTGTTGGAATATAGGTCACACTGTTTTTCATCTTAAAATGAGTAGAGTCTAAAATCAGTATTATTTTTCAGTGTTTACCTATATATTTTTTCCCTTCCAAAGCTAGTGAAGTGATTTACATTCTGACCAAAGTTAGTAGTAAATCAGAGGTGGCAGGGATGTTTAATTTTGTGCGGGAGGATGAGAGGGCCCATGCATTTCATTTGAGTACATTTGGGTGTGTATGGGGTTTTAGAAAAGGGGCTATCTTCTCTTTCCCCTTTTTAACCTCTATTCACCATCACATCCCTAAAGGCAATAGAAGATGTTGTACTTGCTCTGAAGAGCTTTCTAATATGTTTAGAAACTTTCATGTTTCTCTACTTTATTTGCCCATTAGGGGTTTGAATTCATGATGCCTGTAGATGCTGTTTCTGTCATCTCTTGGCTGCTCCCAGAGTCCTCTGATATTTTGGGAGTTAATGTTTTTGCATGACCTTACAAAAGGTCATCTTTTAAGCTCTTTTGAGTGGGTGGTGGGAATTTTTGATGGATACCAGCATATTAAATTAATTTTTTTGTTTTTTATTTCAGGAGAGATTCAATACCTACAGGTTCATCCCCCTGAAGTTTGGGTATGTGGCCACACCGTAGTTTTGCCTGAGAAAAGAGTATGGTGCCGGCCATATGGAACACAATTAGGGATAGCCTCCAGCAGAGCTCGGGTCTCCTGGCTTGGTACAAGAGAGATGCTATGGGACCAGTTATTGCCCCTCATCCAGTCAGTGGTATGGCAGGGCATTTTGCCGAATGTGATAATAATTCACTTAGGGGAAAATGACTTAGTCCAGCAGACTAAGCTAGGCCTAATAATCACCATGAAAAATGATTTGATAACATTATGCAAAACCTTTCCTAAAGCAAAGATTATATGGTCAACTTTACTCCCCAGGAGAATATGGCCAGGGGCCCAGAAACCTGGGGCAGTTGATAAAGCCAGGAAAGCACTGATTAAAGAACTTTCTAAGTTTTGTAGCCTGTCTGGAATTTCGGTGTTGAGACATGATCAGATTGTGTATTCTTCCCCAGAGCTATTTAGCCAAGATGGAGTTCATCTATCTGCAATTGGGGAAGGCATTTTTAATGCCAATCTGCGGGAAGCAATTGAAGCTTGCTTATAACCCACTTCTGCTGCTTTGTTGAGTTCCTCTCCCTTCTTTAGGTGGAATTAATCTTTGCTTTGTAGCTTTATCTCTAGTTCTTTCCCATCCCTCCTGCTGGACAAGTCATTTGCTTTTGGACAAGGCTTTAATAAGACTGTAGTGGAGATTCTAATGCCTCTTTGGGATTAGAGGGACTCATTTTGTGCTGTATTCCTTTGTGTGGGGTGGATATTGAGAAGGTAGGGCTTCCATTATTAAACCTGTATCTTGGCTCCAGATTTTGGGACCATTTGCTTAGCTGCTTTAATCTAAGAGGAGGAATAATATTTATGTACGTTTTCAAAGGAGACCAGGAAGAGACCATTCCTAAAAGATGTTTACAGGGTTTTGTGGGGTTTGTTGTTGTTGTTGTAGTTGTTATTATCACAGGCTCTTTCCTGCCTTCTGCAACTGTACCCAAGAGCTGTGCTCACTCTTTTCCCCAGCATTTTCCCACCCCCTCACATTCAGAATATAAAACAAAGTATTTGTATTTCTTTTGTATGTAATTGACTTTTCTAAATGACTGAATGTAAGGCTCTTAATAAATCACTTCCTGTAAAGATGTATTACTTAGCCTTTCTATTCATAAAGGGCTATGGATATTCACTCTCTGTCAGTAGGAGTGTAAATGACGTTGTGATCTGCACCAATGCCTTTGTGGTAGAGTCATTTTATTGATAGTTCTTAGGCTTAATTCAGTCCAGATGTTATGTAGATATAATGTTATTGTAGTATTTTGTCTTTAATAAAGTTGCAACTTGGAATCTTGTAAACTTGTGATTTATTCTTTTGTGTCCTTATTTTTGGTGTAATAAACAACACCTCCAGTCTTAACAGGAACTTAGGTTCTGTTATTTTCATAAGAAATGAATGATTTAGATATTTGCTAATGATTTCATGAAAGTCTCTTTGCTATAGGCAAATGTTTTGTGGAATTCATTAGTGGGAAGTGACATTGAATGATCTCTCTCATACACACAAAAAAAATTAATACTTATCTTCCCTGTTTTTACCTTTTGAATTCCCTTTTAAATTTTAAAGCCCAGCTCAAAATGGTATCTTCTCCAGGAAGTCTTGCCTGGTCCCTGTCTCTTCCCACCCCTTCCAAGGCCCCTCAGGACTTTAGTAACAATTTGTTTTGTAGTTCTTTAATATACTTAGTGTGTAATGTTTATTAATTACCTGAGCTTTTGTCTTATCTCTTCCCCCCCCGTTAGATTTTGAGCTACATCAAAAGTTATTCTTATCTAAGTTATCTCCCTCAGTGTGCAGCACAAAATAGATGTTTAATAAATTTTATTGAATAAACAAATTACCTTTGTATGACTAAAAACATAAATAGACTACCACGGAAACATAATTTTAAAGTAACTGTAGATAGCAAAATACACAGCCAATGGTAATCCTTAAATTACCAGCCAACAACAGGAATGAACTTTTCAAAGATACAAACAATGTTAAAAGCCTAAACAAGTCTGGCCTGAAAGGCAGTAGCCTTCTGGAAGAAGAAAGATTAACAAATAGTTATTTCACATGCAAATACATGAGCCTGAGTGACGTAGAAACTGAAAGAATAAGTTTGCTACTGGAAGGCATAATAAAGGAATAAAGAATAATGCAGTCACCTCTTAGGGTCATATGAAAGAATGCTCATTTGTCTAACTCTCTAGGCATGCTTAAAAGAATGAAATAATTCCAGTCTCGAAAATATAGGTAGCAAGAGGATTGTCCGACTCCGCTTAAAGGTCTACTTTTTTAATTAAGACCAGAACAATGATTTAGGACATTTAGTTCCTATCTCTCTCTCTCTTAGGCAAGTTTCTCCTCTATATGTGGTAGTACTGTCTTTAATCCAGGGGTGGAGAACCTGCAGCCTTGAGATCACATGTGGCCCTCTAGGTCCTCAAGTGCAGCCCTTTGATTGAATCCAAATTTCACAGAACAAATCCCCTTAATAAAAGGATTTATTCTGTAAAACTTAGACTCGGTCAAAAGACTGAACCTAAGGACCTAGAAGGCCACATGTGGCATTGAGGCCGCAGGTTCACCACCCCTGGAGGTATGGTTGTCTTCATAGAATATTAAAATAATTAATGAAACAACTTTGGAATATTTTGGATTCCTCGGAAAGAAATTGTTCTTTAAACAAAAAGTATTGAGCAATTTAAACTCCTTTTGAAACTGACTCAGTGTGTTAACAGCCAGATATGAGAAGTAGCCTAGTATCTCTCCATTTGGAGAACTTAAAAGTTCTTTACTGTCCATTATTGGTTTCTCCTGAGATTGTCCTTCCCCCCCTGCTTATAGTATGATGCCTGACACTGTTTTCACACTGGGGAGCATACATTCTGGAAAACAAAGAAAAGATTGGTTGATTTTTTTTTCACCAATATATTTTGTAGTTTCATAAAATGGTGAGAAAGCAAATGATACCTCTGTTAGTACTCTGTGTAATTTTAGTGCCTATGATGAATTTGAGTCTAGCAAAAATCAGTGATAGGTTTAATATTAGTGCTAAAGATATGTCTAGGGGTATTAGTAGAAGGTTTAATAATTCCCCTTCCAGTTCTAAGGTTTTATAAATCTGACTTGGACTGAAGGCTAGTGATGAATTATGGGATTGTACTTCTAAACCACAAAAAATGGCTTATTGAGAGACGGAGGTAGTATACTTTTAATGTATCAAATGGCCAAGAATTGGTGATTGGGATGAAGAAATATTATTAATATGGTTCATAAGCTTGGGTTTAGATTTTCATGGTAATATAGCAGTTGAAATTTGAATTAAAAAATTTTTTTTTTGTGCTTCTAAGTCTGGAGTAGATCTTCTAATGCAATCCCTATATCTAGTTGAGACCTCACTCTAGCTTGCTCCCATGCAGCAGTGTGTTGCTTGGTTGTAAATATGTTCTGTTACCTTGTTTGTTTTAGTTGTTTTGTGTGGAAAATGGTAGACAATTTCCAAAGTTTATGTATTCATACAAAACTAACAAACATTCTGGTCATTAAGGGAAATTGTAAAGGAAAATGTATACTGGATTAATTAATGCAGTTTCTGAAAATGATCCCAGTAAAAAGTGATATCTGGTATATAGATTTTTATTTTTCTGATCTTGTTAAGAATCTTGTGTTGAAGGACTGTTGTTGGCATTTCAAGTTGTTACCTATATTCTGTTAAAAGAAGTAAAGTGCTGATTTACTAACATGTCTGTATATGTGTGTATCTATCTAGTTATATATTTCCATATATATATATATATTTATTAGGAGGATATGCTGATTGCATCCCATCCCAGAACATTGTAGGGTCTCTTCATTGATATCCATAAAAGTCAGGAAGTTGGTTTAGTAATCCCTATAGGAAAACTAAATGGGTGAAAAATGCCTACTATCAAGGCACACAGTTGGATGTCCAGTTCATTGAATATGTATTATTGTACAGTTAGTGTAGAGGAATGATGAATTGTGCCCAGAATTGGAGTAATAGAGTAGGCTAGATTTCATCTGGTAAATTGCAGTGTTTTTTTTTTAAACAATCTTGAGATGTTCACTTATACACATGCCATCTTTTAAAACACAGATTTATCTCCACTGAAACTGTATAATTCTGTATCTTGTGAATACCATTTTCCTCAAGGAATCAAAGTTGTGGGTGAGCCAAAAGGCAGGGAAAAGATGGGCATAAATAGACTTTAGCATGTGTCACTGATGGCCTAAATAGTATAAGGAAAAACAGCTTCAGAAAAGGAGGTGGGTTGGTTACGTAGTGAGAACAGGGAATGAGAGTTGGCCAAATAAACTGTTTCATTGGTACCCATAAAAAGTAACAAAACCTTTGGGAAGGTCTCTGGTACATTGAGTGGCTCACCTGAGGAAGAACTATGGAAGAATATGAGTAAGAATTGCATGGGATTAGAAAGCATGTGTGGGTTATAATCTGTACCAATGGAAGGAGTAACCTGAACGAAAAGATTACAGGGTCTCCCAAAGTGTTGAAGTGCCTCTTTTTAAAATACCCGTTTCTCATTTTTTCTACTGCTGAGCCATTGAAATTTCATATTTGGCTCATTGGAACAGCAAATGTTATATTTAGAATTACAGACAGACATTTCCTCTGCGCATTGATGCTGTTGCCCCTACTGGGCTTTTTGATTGGAAGGTTAAGCAGGGATAGATTTGTTATCTTGTATGTGATAAACTTCATGGGTTATTTGATGGCAAATTTACTATAACTCATTGCAGGATGTATGTGAGAGGAGAAACAGCAATATACTAAAAACGAGTAAATGAAGTGATAATTTAGCATGTGTTAGAAGGAAGAATTGACAAAGATATGAGTCAGTGTTGGACAATGATTTTGCCTAGTGAGCCAGATTGGAGGTAAACAGACCAGTGTTATGATGTTAGTGCTATCATTTTGGCACAAATGGCAAAGGACTATTTTGTCCATCCTGAACTAAATTAACCTTGATTGTATGCTCTTAGTGGCTAAGGATACTGTGATGCCAAATGTCATGGACCAAATGCAGTAATTGCTTTTCATCTTATTTGTGCTAGTTTCTTACTGACTTAATGGAAGACAGCAACCTCAGTTCCATTGCCTCTGTGAACTTTTCTTTTTCCCTACTCCCAGCTGGAAGTGATTCCACCCTCTTCTGAGCTGAAAATGAAAAAGAGAAAGTATTTTTTTTTTGTATTTTGTAATTTGTATTAACTCATTTGGCACTGATTACATTCTATTTTATATCATAGTTATTTGAGTACTTGTCATCTCTCCTACTAGATTGAGCTTCTTCAGAACAGGGATAGGATTTTATTCATCTTTATGTCTTTCAGAGAGTCCAGCCCATTGTTTTACATATAGATTGTACGATAAATATTGAATACTATTGACAGTAATCATATGAATGCCAACTTTGGTAAAGCAGACCTACTGACAAGTTGAAATGATCCCAGGGGATGGTCTTTGTGTAGAAGTACGTAATGTTTTGCACTTCATTTCATAACCAGTTTGTGCTATTGAAGAAGTAGATACATAGCACCATGTGCAATTTTCAAACATAGTAATAAGTAGCCTGTTAATGCTTTTGCATCAGTTTTTATTTTAAGTCAGTAAACCTTTTATATAGTTGACAGGAAATAGAATTGAAAGTGCTTGTAAAATGTCACAGATTTGCTTTAAGGGTGTTGTCAGAGTGCTGGATTTCATGTTTGTTATTGAAATTGGAAAATCTCCCATTCTGCAGGTGAGTATTGCATTGAAGGCTATAATAGCTGCAACCAGTAAAATTATTTAGCAAATCAGAAGGAATTGCTAACGTTCCTAAGTTTGTTGTGGCATCCTTGATCCCCTTGGTGGGAATTCTGGTGGTCTGGTGAATTCTGGTTTGGTTATGTCTAAAATCCCTGACTTAAAGGGAGTACTTTACTTTTTTTTAACTCCTAAAATTTATGAGTAAACATTTCTGTAGTTGAGAAGTAACAGTCACTGTTGAGAATAAGCAAAATGAAAGTTAAATAGTTGAGAGTCCTTTGAGTCAATTAATAGTTGTTTTATTTTAAAAAATACTCATAGCACTTTAGAGTATTTTAGCACCTGAAAAACCCTTTTGTTTATTCTGCCTGAAAAAGTAGTTATGTGGTTAGAAAAAGGAGTCTGCTCTTCTTTTCTTATGTGATACAGAAGCCCTTAAAATCCAAACCATAGATGATTAATATAATGCTTTTTTAATGGAATTGAATTATTTGTAGAGTACTTTATTTGGTGCTGATC